GGTCTGTCCCCCCCCCGCAGAGCTCCCACCAGCTCCTGGGAGAGAGAGACACACACACACAGCCCGTGGGGTCTCTCCCCCCCATGCCACACACAGCTGCTCAGAGACTCTGTTTGGAGGGGCGTGTTTCTGAAATCCTCCCCCTCCCCCGTGTGAGGGTGGGGCAGACAGAAGCCACGGGGATGGCTGACAAGTCTAGTTTCAGTGGATTTCTCCTCACCTCCCACTGCTAGACTGGGGAGGGGCAGAAAGATCATAGGACCTTTCTTCTTTTCCCTCTACTCAGGGTTGGGAGGCCAGCAACTTCTGGGTACGCTCTCCAATGTGCGCAGAAGTCGGGGAGCAGCATAGGACCTACTCGTATATTCCACAACCCATATCATTTTTTTACAGAACAAATTATGATTTATGTTACTATAGTGCTGAAGAGTTCTAGGCATGGACTACCCACATGTACTAGGTGCGGTACAAACCACAGTTTATGCCGAAGGCCCTTAAGAACAAGCCAGGCAACTCATGGATGAGACAGAAGGTGGACTATAAGTAAATTGGATTAAACTGGTCAGCATGATTAGCACATCAGCATCTGACAGTTGTCCGTAGTTTTGTAGGCATCAGGCAAAGAAAAGTTTTATTGAAGAAATTTGGTTATGGGCCTCCTTCTGTCCCCATTTAAGTCTATATGGGTATGACCCAGATCTTAAGACATATTTTACTCCTGGGGGAATACTGCAGAGCTGCTGGCTGCCACTGCAGGTCCCTGGACTCTAGAGCCCAGCTCTCCACCTTTCATCCGGTGAGGAGGGAGGCTCTGCACTCTGGCTACCCAGCTTGATCCTCATCCACCCAGGGATGGTGTTACCCCAGACAGAGTTCTCAAAGCTCTTGGTAACTTTACTTTGTGTGAGTTGGTGTAAAAAAATATAAATCAGTGGAGACCCAGCCACCAGTCCAATAAAGGGCTGGCACAAACAGTATTATACAAACATGCTCTAAGTAAAAGCTATACTTCATTTAATCTCAAGCATTTTAGACATCTGCAACAAGTTAGCAAAATAGCCTCAGTAATTATTGAAATTTGGTGTGGTACAGTTGCAGCCATCCAACTAGTCCATCTTTAAGCTGTCCTTGAGGGCTCTAAACTGAGTCCATGAATTGATCCCAAAGAGACCAAACCTCTCCCTCTTTATTTCACTTTGTGAGTAAACAAATTACTATCAATTTAAAAACTTGTTAAGCAAGCAGTTTCAAAAGCTAAGCAAGAGGTTTCCTGAAATTACTAATTAGCCAGAGGTATTCCTGCAGGGTTTGCATGCCCTGAGATGCTGACAGTCACATCTCAGAAGGGAAATAGATAAGCTTCTTATTTGTCTCCTAAAATATAGACCCCATCATGTTCAACTGACACTTCATCAAGAAGAGACACAGAATCAGGCAAAGGTATGCTGAGCAAGATGTTTAGTCCTCCTGGCTTAAATCTTGCTAAGTCTGCACAGCCCTGCAAAACAAACAAACAAACAAAAAACCCAAGTTTGGTTGCTGTTAGCAACAAGTATGATATTATACTATTGGTAGCAGTCTCTGACCTTTTACTGGTCTTTCAAAATCTCCCCATACAATGGGATAGGCCTGGGGATAGAGGGCTTCATTGCATCCCTTAGCAGGACTGTAGAGCCGTGGGAATAAAGGCTCTGAAGGGAGGTTCACTAGAGCTGGGGGAGGAGAAGCAGGTACCTTGACCAGGAGAGGGAAGAACACAGCCACCTCCAGCCTCCCCCCAATTGGAAGTGGGTTGTCACCCAGAGTTTCACTCTCTGCTCTTGGAGGAAAGTTTGTTGCTGCCTCTAATGTGACATACTTGTTCGTAGGTATTTTGAACAAAATAATGTAAACTGGAGTATTATAGCATGTTATTGTGACCAAATCTGCACAATTTTAAAACGTGCCCAGGATTGTTCATTTGAGGGGGCAGAATTCTCCTGGGAGCAGGCACCAAACTGGCTTGAGGTGCTGGTCTCTGGGGGCTTCTCTTGTCCTGCTCTGGGGCCTCCTTTGCAGACACTAGTTCCCTGGCACCCTGGCTCTCCAGGGAAGAGCCCTCCCAGGGGCTTGCCTGGCTCCTGCCCAGCTCCATTCATGCCCCGGGTCCCGCACTTCTGCTCGGACCGCACCGAAACCAGGCCCCCGGGGAGGGGGACTGGGGTGTCTGGCCTGTGGC